GTGTATCGAACAGGTTGAAATTCAAACCAAGGCTCAAAGATTTAACACTTCAATATTTTGGTATATAGAGTAAATATTGCAAGGCTCTACCCTGTCACTCATGAATGGCTTATAATGGTATTAAGGATGGAATGTTTTTCATTATAGGATGTTAAAAACAGCAAGGTTGGAGACTTTTGAGGAAGACTCACATTTTTTTTTAGCATGTGAGCTTGGGAGAATTCCCTAGAAATGAGAGAGAATATTAAGCACGTCCTTAAAGCTTATCACTTCTAAAACAGGCAATTCATGTAATTTATGAAAGGTAGAGTGGATTGCTGCATTCCTGATGCTGATTTTTAACATATTTTGAAATAATGCGTAAATTCTCTAGCATTAATTCAGTCTTTAAGTCTCAGTTTCCAAAATGATGCGAGGAAATCCCATCTATGTATAGCCTAGACAGCCTGAGATCGTCCCTGAACATAATATTTAAAGCCGTGTTAAAGGAGTCAGTTAACATTAAAAGCTAGAGGATAGTTATAAAATTAACATCAAAGTACAAAATAGGTCTCATCAGATTAATTTGGTAGAAGAATACTTTTGAACTGATAAGGGCAACTGTGGATATATTACAGAATCTTTCAGCCTTTTTTGTTTTGTTTTATTGCATTCTGATTTAAAAAAAAAAATCACAATACCAGCATAGTAGTAAAGGGTTAAGAACTGCTTACTACTGAATCAAAATTTTTTGTGGAGTTATCACTGACCGAACAGTTGCGTCAAGTAATATCTTACTTCTGTTTAACTTTTTATTCAATAACTTTGAAGTAAATATTTAAAAAAGAGAAGTAAGTGATCAGATTAGAAAAGAGTAAACAATGAAAAAAAGATTAATGTGGATTGCTGGCCAAATAGGACTTCCAGAAAATATGCTGTTACTGTTGAAATACACATTTCTTGAACAAGAAATACCTATATACTTATAGGAGGTAAGATTGTGTGCTGCAAAAGTGGGATCCTGAAAATTATCTCAGTGTCATGGTGGAAAAGAACTGCTTACAAGTCTTCTGGGCTCTTTTTTTTTTTTTTTTTTTTTTAAGAAGCTAGCTAATCTGATTTTGGGATGTGTAGGTAAGACTAATAATAAATTGGAAAGTGATTTTACATCTAAGTACCTACAGTAAGAGCAGAAGTGAGCAGCTTTGTTCTTCATAGCATCACCCTCTTAAAGGATGTTGGAAGAATTGGAAAAGGATCCAAAAAAGACCCTCCCTTCAGTTATTTAATAGCTAAGGTCAATATGTTTTATTAATAGTAAGAGACTCATCAGTGAATAAAGGGACAGAATGTCTCTTCAGCAAGTCAAAATGAGGAATGGTTGGTGCAGGGATGGGCTGCTCTGACACACAGGGGGACCTCAAAAAACTGGAGGGATGGGCAGAGGGGAACCTCATAAATTGCCATATAGGGAAGTACCAGGGCCTGCATTTGGGAAGGGAAGGAATAACCCCCTGCACCAGTACAGGCTTGGGGCCGACCTGCTGGAGAGTCGCTCTGTGGAGAAAGGGCTGGGAGTCCTGGCGGACAACAAGCTGACCATGAGGCCGCAACGTGCCCTTGTGGCCAAGAAGGTCACTGGTGCCCTGGGGTGTATTAGGCAGAGCGTTGCGAGCAGCAGGTCGAGGGAGGTGATCCTCCCCCTCTGCTCAGCTCTGGTGAGGCCGTGTCTGGAGTACTGTGTGCGGTCCTGGGCTCCCCAGTAAAGAGGGATATGGAGCTACGAGAGGGAGTCCCTGGCAGTGTCACTTCTGGTGATGAAGGGACTGGACTTCTATGAGGAGGGGCTGAGAGAGCTTGGCCTGTTCAGTGTGGGGAAGGGAACTCTGAGGGGGATCTTCTCAATGCATTTAAATATCTGAAGGGACAGACTCTTCAGTGGTGCCCAGCAATAGAATGAGCAGCAACAGGGACAAACTGAAGCACAGGAACATAATGAAAACCTTCTTTACCATGAGGATCAGAGAGCACAGGCAAGTGTTGCCCAGAGAGGTTGTGACATCTCCATCCTTGGAGAGATTTAAAAGCCCCTGGACACAGTCCTGGGCTTCCTGCTTCGGGTGATCCTGTCTGAGCAGGGGTCTATATGAATCTACAACTCTCTTACGCTGAATTAGCGGTGACTATACAGTGCCTTGGAGCTGATGCTGCACAGTTAGCATGGATGACTGGGGTCCTCGCCGGCCTCCAAGGCAGGGTGATCAGGCTTGAGAGCTTGACCTCAAGAGCAAGCCCAGCTGAAGCAGCCAGGCATTTTCTCCATCTTTCCCCAGTCACTGGTGGGGTTCTACGCTCCGTGCACCCTTCCCCAAAGGGGGATCTCATCTGCTTCCAGTTTCACTTAGCTTGGTTTGGGTTTTGCTGGTCACCCATCCTGCATACTGGATAGGATGCCCTCCCTGGTGCTTAGTTTCACCTTTGTTTTTTATCTTGCAGCTTCTGTTACTTGGATATTTCTGGAATACAACTCTGCACGTCCTTGTTTGCCCCAGCTCACTACATGAAATGCTTCTACGTGGTGTTTGGCTGCCATTGCAGCATTACAAAATGCTCAGGCACTGTTGGTTGCTCTTCTGCAGTATGCTTCTCTTTGAGTTCTGGCCAAGTGGGAACTAGCCCCTGATTAATACGCTTACAGCTTTCACTGACCTCTGTGTTTTGGTTATATTAGCTACTACCCTTGCTCCATAGTTCCTTCAATTGTACTTACTGCAGTCCCAGTAAAGAAAGAGAAGCAGCTTGGATGGCTGAAAGTTTGAGAAAAATCTTCAAGTTTGTATTTAAAGAACCCAATTCAGTGCATCTAGATCGTACCGTTTTCTCAGCCTCTCATGTATCATCCTTACCACAGCATAAAGTCAGCTTTATATCTGCAGCCATTTTTCAGAGTAATTATTGAAGAGATTGCTGCCCTCATAAAAGCACGTGTAATGGTGGCATCATGAGTATTCATATTGTACGCTAAAAATAATCGTGTTTGGATGGGGTCTAGAAAACCCCACAGGCATAAAATAACATGGAGATGCTGGGGTTGTCAGTGACCATTCCCTTATTGTTGTGTGTTGACAACCATCAAAACAGGAGTATCGGTGCTAGCATCCTGCTCCAGGAGGCATCGTATACTGAGGGGAGAGGAGATAGCCCAGAGATGTTGTGGAGTTTCCTTCTCTGGAGATCTTCCAAACGCACCTGGATACCCCCCTGTGCTACATGCTCTGGGATTCTGGTGAACACTGGGGCACTTCAGTCTTTCCTTTCAAGGCATTTATTCTGCCAAAGGCCGTTCTATAAAGTCGGGGTGGGCTGTAATTCTGAAGCTCCAGCCATTGAGGTGCCAGGCGTTGGGAAATCTGTTCAGCAGCCTGTCTTTCGTGCTGTAGGGACGATGACAGCATGAGCTTGTGATACTGCATCCCTAATTCAACCATCAGATACAGTCAGAAACAGCCAAGCAGAGATGCTTGAATCTTAGAAAAGATTAATAGATTTTTTTTTCTGATATTTAAGTATACCTTTTATAGGCAATCTTGGGTTGCTTTTGACCATGAATTATTATTTTCTTTATCAAAAAGCTTGTTTTATTAGCTTTCCATATTAATCTGGAAAGATGCACAAGTTGAGGTTTATGTTCCAGCAAAGATACAGGGTTCATTTTCATTTAGTAAATCATACTGTAAAAAATGAAACATGAAAGGCTGCTGGGAGGAGGAGTAAATGAGGGCACATTTTCTTATTATTTCTGAAATCTGGAATGCTCAGATCTTCTCCAAAAGGCTCAAATGTTGCTTGTGGTTTTGAAGTGGGGAAATACTCCCCTCCAGCTGGTTTCTTTCTATAAGTAGACTATCTAAATGTTACTATAGTGACTAAGGTTTACCTCTTCCCTCTTCCCACTTTCTAGATTGCCAAGTCAAGGAAGGCTTAAGATGATTTCTTGTCCTGAATTCCTTTTTCTGTGCAATGTTTATTCTCTGGTTGAAGCATCCTGGCCACCATCTAAAATAAACAGGCTGCGCAGGGCTACTACAGCAGTATGAGTATCATCTGTGGTAGAATTAGGCTTCTCAAATTTTAGATGCACTTAACTTACTTACTATTACTTTAACATCTTTGTTTTCTAGATGTTTTCAAGTAAGCAAAACTCATAGTTGCAATTCAAGATGACTCTCACTCAAAGCAAATACTCTTAACAGTTAAATTAACACAATTCTTCTTGCTATATCTAGATGTAACATTCTTACCAATCATTTTTTATTAAATCGTACACATACAGAAATTGTAAATGATACAATCAAAGCTGTAGGCTAGAGGGCAGCTTTCGAGTCTCTTCTTTTGCACTCTTTGCTTTGTCACACAAAAAAATAGTCTGACTTGGCTGAACAGTAAAAAAAGTAATGCATCAGGATACAGATAATTTTAACACACTTTTATAATGTATACATTCTATACAAGGCATTATTTTAACACACTTAATGTATACATTCTATACATACCATTAAGCTCTAACGCATAATGAATGAAATTCTACTGCCTGCTAGTATTTCAAATTATCAAATTGATTTCTTTTTCTAATTGCTTCTACAATGCCCCAAATTTAGTATTATACATCAATTATTTATTACACTTTGAGATGCTAGTTTTGATATTATACTTGTTTTCTTTGAAGTCATAGCTGCTCAGCTGAGAGGAAACTTATTTTATGCGAATATTTGCATGAAGCCGTGGGATGGTAAGCTATGTACATCAAGTTAATTGCTAACTCCTTCACACACTGGAAGTGGTATCTTGATTTTTATCTATATGGATGATCTTTTAGGAGAAAATGTCTGCTTTCACGGTAATTTGAGGACATTTTTTATGAAAATCATAGCAAGAAAATAAATACAAATAAAAGTGATAATGGGAAAATCACTCCTCGCATTGCACATTTTTTTCAGAAATGTCTCTGTTAATGTTACTGCTTAGTCATCTATTTTCAGCTTAAATTCCACTTTTCCTTCATAGGGATCGTGAATATTATCAGAGATAATTCCAGTTCCAATCACTCTGCACACTATTTTAAATTCTTCATTCCTTGTAATGTTGAGAAGTTTCACAGCTACCAAAGGATTAGTGTAGGTGGGCTAAGAGAAAGAAAAAACATGAGATACTTTAATTTTACACTCTCCATTTAGACATAGAGCCTAAAATTTCAACTTCTGCCTAGTTCATGTAAGATGACAGAAATACTCCGGACCTGTCATCTTACAAGCAAAACAAATTCAAGCACGTGGGCACCCACCTGAGCCTTTATTCCATAGTAAGGGAAGTAGTGCAGGTTAAAGGTGCCGTTCCTGGGGTAGTAGTCTACTTCCAGGGGGCGAGAATCATCACCCTGTTTGTAAAGAAAGGCACAAAAGGGGTCTATACAATGGTGAGCCAGCCCTGCACAAATGAGTTATTGCTGGTAAAAGCCGCATAATATTTATTGAAACTCAGCAATCTATTTAGCGCCGGTTTTGGTTTTAATTTTTCAAATAAAAATGGAAATCCCCTGCTGTTACTATTGCCAAGAAAAACAGCCAAGTGTTCACATGGCAACAATGAATTCATTGAGTTAGAATAGGCTGAAATTTGCTGAAAGCCTGAAACAGTTGCTCTGATTTATGAGCTTCCTATCAGGAACAGAAAACAAAGAGCAAATGTCTTATTCAAGCAAACATATTTCACTATTACAAGTTCTTCAGCATAGGAAAGCAATGTTTCAAGTGATTTAAAATGAACCACATTTTTGATTCTTAGGATGTTCAATGGTGCAAAAGGGTGCACAGAATTAGGAGGAATCCTGCTGTGTTTTGCCAGAATGATCTGATTTCTGGAGATGCAGGATCTCCCACCACAACTGCACTTTGCTTGCGGCCACCGCTGCCGCTCTGGGCCCCATGTACTTACTACATAGGTGCAGTCCACCTTTGGTGCAGTGCCATTGCCAGGGTAAAACTTGATGATCTGAGGTAGAAAACACACATTACTCATCTTGGAAATTGTTGTGAGATAAAAAGGTGCAAAAGATTAACACAGAGTCACGTGCTGCTCAGCGTGTTGCTTGGTGAGGCTCTGTCCCACAGATCACTTCGTCCTATGCATCCTGTCTCTTCCTGGGAGAAAAAACATGTCCATGCAGGGTGAAAAAGCAAAGAAGTTTTCGGTGGGAAGCCTGCATTTCATCTGCAAAAATCGGATGCAAACTGGATCGTGCACAGACTCTTGATAATGCCCATCACTAGAGAGCGCAGTGCAAGGCGAACAGAAAACCTAACAACAACTTTGTTTCTCAGTAACTGGTGAAAATATGGACTCTTCTCACCAAAGTACTGAAACGGAACAAGAGGCCTCAGGTTCTCCCCTGAACACAAAAACAAAATATTCATCCCTTTTTCTATGTCCCGAATAATTTAAAGGAAGTATGGAAGACTTCCTTTTCCCTCTTCGAATAATGTGTTGGTGGTTTTTACTGAAGAAATTTCCAGCAGTCTTGAATTTTATTTTCACAGGTTCAGCTAATGATATTTTTTGCAGCATGGAGAAGACAGATGTGCAAGTATCATATCTCTGAAATCTCCTCATTTGCAATGACTAACACTTGAACTGCAGGCATAGGATCCTGAAATTGCAGAAGATAAACTTTTTTATGTGCTAGTTTGTCAGATAAGAGCATTGTGGAGATGCTATCAAATCTAAACAAAAAACAGTGCTTCAGAGAGTCTGTTTAGAAACCACTGTGCCCTCTGCTGTTTTCCTAGATGCAATGAAAGTAATCTCACTATTTCTCTAGTAACCCTGCAAGTCTGTCAGAAACAGCATGGTATTTGGTTCTTTCCAGTACAAAACATAGATTAATGTTTGTGGCAATAGAAGACAGCAAATCCCCCAAAGAGAATTATGCTATCCGGTGTTTCTTGACGAATCCTTTCCTGCGCAGCACTCGAGATTGTACTTACCCTGTTCATTTTTATAATTAAACAGGGTTTTCCTTCTGGAAATCCAAATGTAGGATCTGTGAGGCCAGAGCAGTTTTGAAGCATATCCAATGTAAATTTGCAGGATAATTTTGTTTTATTTGGGCCATCAAAGGTGTCCTGGATGAAGTATTCATCCCTCATGCAGTTGATGTTCTGATGCTGAGCAGCTGGCGTATATGCTAGATGTGAGAAAGATGAAAGAAAAATACCCTCTAAAGTTATTCATATATAAGCCACACACCCCCAAATCACTTGGAGGTTATCACAGAATCACAGAATGGTTGAGGTTGGAAGGGACCTCTTGAGATCATCTAGTCCAACCTCCCTGCTCAATCAGGGGAAAAGAGGGACTTCAAGAGAAAACGAGGTTGGATGGAATGAGGAAAATTGAAATTTAATTATTTTAGAACATGCAAAAAAAAAAAAAAAAAAAATTAGTTGAGTTGCCCTAAAAAGGGAAGTGTAACAGCAGGTCTATTCAGTGTTATAGCAGAAACCTCATTGCTTTTCTTTTACCTGATAGAAAAGTGTGCAGAGTTGTCACAAATCCATCCCAGGTTCTGTTGTCAGACACGTTGTAATAGATTTGCAGTCCCCGCTCCCCGTACACGTCCGGTCGTAACGTCACACCTTCGTGAGGAAAGGAGAGGGAAGCGGAGGCAGGCGGCAAGGGCCGCGCATACGGTCATTTCTTTAAGTCGTCACTAGCTACTCCCTGCTAAAGGATTTGTTACTGTATGTAAACGTACCTGATTCCCCATCTTTGCTAGCAAGGATTCAGGCAAGTACCGAAACAGTCTCGGCTGTGAGTTATTTAATTCTACTCTGCTTCTGAATTTCGCACCACAGGTAACCCACGCAGGGACTGTTCGGGCAGGATCAGCGCTGTTGAGGCCGCATTTGCCTTGGCAGCTTCTGGGGAGTTGCCTGTGCCCCACAGCCCAGATGCACAGGGGAAAAGGGGGGAAAATGGGGTCCAAGCAGCAGCAGTACCTGGGGACTTCAGCTGATCTTGATAATCCGGCTCGTAGGGGTTCAGCGTCCGCATTAAGGAGTACAAGGACAGCGCAAAAAGCCCTGTCATCACCACGTAGAAAGCGAGGTAGTACAGGCTGATCCACACTGTGGAAGAAGCGGAGGTTACAACTTCCCTGGCCGGTGCTGGGGACCAAGCAGAGCTGCTGCGTTTTCCAACATTTTTCTCTAAATTCGCAAATTTTCTCCAAATTTGAAAGAATGTTCTTGCAAGAAAAAAATGGCTTCCCAAGCAAGGATGTGAAGGGCTGGAACAAAATTTTCATCCCTTCTTTGTGGAGCACATCTTTTAGTTTGGATGCAGCAGCTGGTAGTGTCACATTAGCAAAAAAACTTAAGAATTTTTAAGAAAATTTAGGAGGTTGGGCAGTTTCTTGAACTACTCTCAATATTAAGACCGTTTGCCTGCTCACTGCATGAGTTACGCAAAACAGCCAGTGCATTTTACTGACAAATATAAGTCACCAATATTATTATTCAGGTTACAGATTTCAATATTATTTCAAGTGTTTTTGTTTTAGACCCCTACCCCTTCATTGACTTTTACATCTGAAATCATCTTCAGCAAACTCATCCTCTCGGTATTTTGTTCCCCTGTTATGAGATTTAGAACAACGTTGAGTTTCCTTATATATGGGCATAATGTGTCTTATACACCACTGGTGCCAGTGTACAGAAGACCAAGGAATGTTTTGTGTGGGCAGCTCATTGCAAGGCAGAAACCACTTCCTGCAGCCGTTGGTACCTCTCCAGACATTCTCCAAGATGGAAACATTCACATTCCAGGATGATATCCTATAAACTTCGAGTTCTCACAATGGCCAATAAGCTCTGCCAGCAGGTTTCATATAAGCAAGATTCCTTCTAGAAACCCATCTTCTTTAAAATACACAGAGCCCCAGGAGAGAGATCATGAAACACTTTGGTGATGTAGACACAAGTGTGGCTACAGACAGTGAGGTTCAGCTGAAATATGTGCTAGCATGCTAGGATAAAAGAGCAGATCTGTAAAACAGGCAATAATTCAGAAACGGAATCTTGGAAAGGCATAATGTGTTTGCAGAGAACTGGGCAAAAATTATTTTCCCACACTTCCTTGGCTAGGTCTAAACAGGAAAAACACAGCTACAGGCTTCTTCATCATGCTGCTGTCTTTGCATAAATACAGAGAGGCCAGATTTCTGCAGAGAGGCCCGAGTGAGGTAAACCCACTAATTAAATTAAGTAAAATGCCCTGTACACTAGAACTCACTATAGTCAACATAGCATAAACAGAATCCTTGGCTATTAATTAAATAACTAATGTGTTAATGAGTTGCATTTTGTCCTTATAAAATATTTGGACCATAAAATAAAATATAAAATATTAATATAAAATCCATATATCCATATAAAATATTTGGAGAATTGTTTTGATATTCTTATCCTTTAAGGAACCACCCAGATAATATTTTAAACTAATTTATTCAACTCAAAGGAACCATTCTTCTTGTCTTATTGCCTAGATTAAATGGGATTTCTCAACCTGTCTCTAAAACCAGTTTATTTCTGAAGCAATTTTGAAATGCAAAGTCCTGTTCTGTAGTTTCACACCGACAGCAGTGTAGCAAACAGACTTCTGCCTTAAGATCTCATCAGTTTTACAGGTGATTCAGAAGCATACATGAAAACTGATATATGAAATAGCTACCATCACATCATATCCCAGTCATAAGCAACACTACCTCCCTCAAGATTTTTAAGCCTACCAGAAGGAAGAGAAAACTCTTGTGCGTGAATACATACCCCAGTTAATCAAGGTCCTTCCCATAAACTGCTTCGTTTCTGGATTCCAGACGAAAAGCCGGAAATTTTCCATCCGTTCGCTGCAGGTCTTTTTTTCACTTAAAGTTGCCATTTTCTCACAAAATTTCCCCCAAAGACGTCCTCCTCAGACACTAAGAAATTCAACAGCTGCACAAACAGTTGGCCAAGAAAAATACTTTGGTTTTTATACCTTCTTCTCTCCTGAAGGTCAAGGAGATTGCTTCCTATACCAATGAAAGCACCTACTTACAATTATCAATCGGCAGCAGATACTGTTCTTTATAAACAATGTTGATAATGTCCAGTGTTCAGACTGGCAAAAAAGTTAGTTCCTATCAAATGCCCTTCTCCTTTCTCTTGAATACCTTAGGAGATCTGCAGAGTTACACGTTTCGTAGAGTGCCTTTAAGGCTTGTGATATATATTCAATTTGATAGCTGTTATCAGGACAGATAAAGCTAAGGAGAACTTGTTTCTCTCTCTCTCTCTCTTTTTTTTTTTTCTTCTTTCAATTACCCTGCAAATACCGGGCACAGTTCTCCCATTACAGCCTGTATCCATCCGATCAGATGTCTGTGATTGCAACAGGAATGTGTGTAGTAGAACTGATTCCCTGATTCCACTGCCTGTAGCGTTCACCATGTTTCATAGATGGGCAATTCACCAGTATTTTTCTCTCTGTTTTCTACAGGGAACATTTTTGTGTCATCTCTGATAATGCTAATTCAGATACAGAAGAAACGTGTTTTTTTTTTTTTTTTAATATCCCTGCCTCCTTCTCAGCATACCACCAACAAATCCAGAAGAACAACAGGGAAGAAGAAAAAATACTGTGTAATGAAAGATAGTTTTGCCACAAAAAGGCTATATATTTACCTGCCGCTTTCGCATCCTTTGCAGCCAAAGGTTCTGATAGACTCAGAAACATCTGCTTAACCCTGTACCCAGTGAGCAGCTCATCCAAAGCCAGTTGAGACTCAGGTGGGAGAAGTAAGAGGTTATTTACCATTACTGATTTTTCATTCCTGTTTTGTGTTGGGCTCAGATCTGAGGCTCAGAGATTATTATGGCTTTTATTTTAGAAACTGTCAATGGCTCTCAACCCTTCTCTTTAAAGTTGTTCACTAACAGTGTTACTCTCTCATTGGACACCAGTAATGTAGGAGTCCAGAATTGCCCTTTGATTTCAGCAGAGCCAAGATTTCATCCCTTTGGATTTGGCATACTGTCATGTCCTCACTTTGCAGGGCATGTTGTGGGGGCGAGGGCTTTAAGATGAGAAGGTACAAATGGAGTACCTGGTAGACCTTTGATTATTTGAATACTAACTAGAGTAACTAGATTCAATCAAAGTTAGAAGCACTGTGAGGAGAAAATATAGCTCTTAACTCCACTCATAGACAGTTGATATCTTAACAGTACACAACTTGAGTACACAACTAAATCAGCACAACAACAAACAAATTAAATATTCACCATCAAATCAAATCCCAGATAATATTCTAAAGGCAAATATTGTTATTTCTGTGCTTTCACACCCCAAAGGCTAATCTAGAAATCGACAAAGTTTCTGTTGCAAATAGATGTAAAACACTGATCATCTAGACATTGAAGGAGCCAAACATAAATATCTGTGTAAAAGGTGAAATAAACTCTGTCTAAATTTAGGATTTTGAATTCAGCATCATGGATAGCTGAAGACAAAACTAATGACATTGTGGCCAAGGATTTCAAGCAATTTACTTCTTTTACATTACATCCTGTTTGTCCATATGCATCACTGGAAGGGAATCCTAAAATTTTGCTGAGTTCAGCACCGTTTGCCCAGGACTGACCATATAAAGGGAAGATTGTAAAATCAGTCTCACAGCTTCATATGCAGGAAGGCAAGATAAGGCCCATGCATGCCCCTCTTGGATGGCAGCGCTGAGCAGTACAAGCCAGCTGAAAGGTACCATGAAGGGTGAACATCTCATGTGCTGTTTTAACCCTGTTGAGTCCTAGAACTGCACCAAAACTAGCATGTTACAGGATAGACAGGGAAAATGATGGTTAAAGGAAGGAAAATACGCATTTCAAATGGAAGGCAACTTGCCAGGCAACTTGCCAGGCAACTTGCCTGGCAAGTTTTATTTCAGTCTGTAATCTGGAGGTAATCTGCTGACCTCAATTCGATAGTGTCAGATTTATTAGGCAAGGGTAGGGAAGAAAAGTGATTTAAGTGTGTGATTTGAATTAAATTTCCTTATTCCTGAACTGGGGTTAGAAGAGCTCATTTAAAGCTGAAAATAAAAATGCACAAAGTTAACAATAGTATCTACAAAAAAAAAAGTATAAAAAAGGATAATATTACGGATGGAAATATGGCCTGACTAGCAGCTCTATAAATAGAGACTACATGAATACATTGACCACAGTAATACAAATGCGTAAGTACATTTATTATAATAAGTTAGGTATATAATACATAAGTAATACATAAATGAAATATATAACTATATTAAATACGTTGAATAAATTACAAAAATGTATTTACATTAAAAAAACAGAAGAAAAACAAGAAATAAAAGTCATATAAGAGAGAGTGGATGAATGAAGACCATTTCTCTGTTAGATTCCTTATTCAATATTCGAAATGGTCAAATACATTAGCTATTTGTCAATGAAAGATGTCACTACTTGGAGAGTAATGGAACAGCAGACAAAAGTCAAGAAACTTGATTTACAGAAGAAGTCACCAGGAGATCTGAGCCAGCACCTGAGCTAAAATAGAAATGCTTGTGCAAGTCATGCTGTGTGTGCCACCAGCCAACTGCTTGCTACAGTCACCAGAAGTTTGTGAACAGGCACCTCCAATTTAATATTAGATGGATAGATGCAAACCCACTTTTCATAAAAAGTTGTATTTCATCTGTATGATTTCTAAATAGGAAGAAAAGAGGATGTGTTAGAAAATAAATAGCTACTTCATAAGCAAATCCCCCTGGAAGCCATGTCCAGGCACACAAAGAACAAGGAGGTGTTTGGCGTTTGTCCATTGCACCACCAGCCTGGTGTCATGGGGCAGCAGCTGCGTGGACAAAGTCAGAGCAGAAGCTGCTGCCTATCTTGGTTTTAGCACTGCTTTGGACACTGTCTCCCTACCACCTCCTTGGAGCCAAACCAGGAAGATGGGACTAGCTCTGTGGAGCACAAGGTAGCTGGAAAGGCGGATGGCAGTCAGGGTTGGAGAGCAGAGGTCCATGGACCAAAGCACAGCTGGCAGCTGCTTACAACGCTCCTCGTGGGCTGATACACCCTTTCACACCTTCATTAGTGACGCGGGTGAGGGCAGAACCTCCTCACGCTCCCTGGGGGCACAGCGCTGTCAGGCAGCAGCTGGCACTGAGAGTCGAACTCTGCACCAAGGAGCAAAGGACAAGAGGTAACATATGCACAGGCTGCAACAACAAAAAATCCAATTAGCTACAACGAAAAAGCTGTCCATGAGGGTGACCCCACACGGGATCAGGGGTGGGTGAGGCTGTGACTCGGCATCCTCAGAGACACTAAAACCTCAGCACGCATAACCACGGAAGCACTGCCAGAGACCCCTTCCAACACTGTTCCTGCATCTCCAGTTCTAAACTGTTTTTAACTAATGAAAGAGTCATAACCCTGAAAAAACTTAATAATGTTGCCACTGAGCAGTCCTTTGCATTTCCATATTTGTCATTTCCAGGTGTGTTGTTGGATTTGACAAAAATAAATGCATATCAC